TTTTTTTTTTTTTTTTTTTTTTATACTGGGGATAGAACTTGGGACCCTGTGCTTGTGAGGCAGGCGGGGCAACACTGAGCTAAATCCCCAGCCCTTAGCTGCAATTTAATGGCATCAAAGAAAGCACTTCTTCAGTGATACTGTATTCATAATCTATAACACTGCTAATTAAAAACAGCAAGGTGGACCATAGATGTCACGTCAGCACGTTCATCTATTGCCAAAGAATAAAGTTTGAAATTAGCAGCTTCACTCTTAAATCTTTTTTCAGTAGATTTCCCCCCATTTCCTCAGTTCATCTGGCTATAGTCTGGTGAGACAAACTGATTTAGAAAAATTAAGCAGGCGCCTTCTTTCTCTCAAAAAAGCTCTCATCCACTTTTCACTGAAGACTCTTCCTTCTTCCATTATACCTGTTTTGGGTTCTGTTTTGTTTTGAGATGACGACGAAGCCGCTCTGTGATTCAAGAACGCTGAGAGGCTGAAGCAGGAGGATCACAAGTTCAAGACCAGCGGGGGCGGTTTAGCAAGACCTTGGGGCTCCGAGTGTTCGAGTCCCCACGCCCGCCTCACCCCGAGGTCTCCGGTGGTTTGGAGAGTCTGGGCGACGGAAGCACTGGCAGCAGGTTTGTTTACTGTCTCCATAGAAACCACGGCTGGGTGTGCGCCTCACTCACTGCACTTTCGGCCCAGGGTACCTCAAAGAACAACCCAGTAGCACTCGCTTTTAGCCACCGCCATTGCCGGTGTGACCACGGGGGCCTCCCCCGAATCCCACCTTCCTCTGGACCGTGCATTGGGACAGCAAAAAAACTTTGTTATGTAATTCTAACAACTCTGTAATCTGTTGTCTTTTCTAGTTCAGTTAGTGCTCTTTCTGATTCTTTATATAAAGAATGATTTTTATTGAAACTTGGAATTTTGGTTATTATCTTGTGAGACTGAATTTTACTTAAACCTTCTATTTTTGGGTAGCTTCCTTTAGACAGAGAAAAGGTGGGACTTTGGCTTTCATTGCCCCTGTAAGAAGGGGAGGGCGCTGCTGCCTCGGTAACGGTGCTTTTACTCTCTCCGAGTGGGAGAGGTAGGAGTGCCTTGTTATGGCTTCTCAAGTGGCGTTCATTGATACTACAGTGGGGGAGAGGCATGGGATGCCCTCCTTACTGCTAAGAAGTGAGCAGAGTCCTGTCCATTAGGCTTCTTGCCATCTCATCTCAGTAAGGGGGCTGAAGCTACCTCATTACTCTTGGGCAGGTTAAAAGTCTTCAAAGAGTTTTTTGCTGAAAAAAGACCACCTAGCCTCCTCTGATACTGCTTCTGTGTCAGTTTGGGGGTGCTTTGCTACAATATTTGTTACAGAGATGCTGGTCGACTTCACATTTAATCTTTACTGGCATTGGTGGTGGTGGGGGCAATAAGATCCTTTTCTCTGGTGTCTGCTTGACACGGAGTGATTATTGTCTAAAAACTTCCTCTCTTCTTAGTGGCCCTTTCCTGGCCCTTTGGCTGACTGAACAAGTTGTGTTAGGACTTTACTGCTCTACACCTACTAACTAAGGTAGCTCTGGCAGCTCCAAGTCTGGGATATATGAGGTTAAAAGAAAATGAGGGAACTTTCCATAGTGTTTTTCTTTGGATCCTGAGGTCCTAGCCTGTCTATCTTCTTTGTCCAGCTTTTCAGAATCCTCCTGTGTTTATTTTCTATATAGTGTTCAAGGGTTACAGTTATACATAGTGGGAGGAATAGGAAACTATGTCTATTCCATCTTCCCAGAAGTGGAGGTCCAGCCTTCATTTTATTAATCGCTATTTTGAGAACTTACTCAACATACGTACTTCCATTTCACTAGTATTTATTGGGCACTCCATGTGTCTAAAACTGCACTGGAATCTGTGGATGACAATGCAAGTTAAAAAACAAAACACTGGGTTGAGACACTAAGAGCTGATGCCATGTCCCTTTAATGAGAAAGAAAGGCGAAATAATGTAGACATACTGGACTTTCAGTGGAAACCAGGAATCTACTTTTTCTGGATCTTTTACTACCTGTGGGACTTTGGCAAGCAACCAGATCTCTTGGTTATGTCTAATGGTGTCTTTTGAAATATTTGTACGGCAACTATTGTGTACATCTTAGTTCCTAGTTCTTCATTTAACACAGGACTCTGAAGTTTTTGTCACTTTTAAATGACACTGAATCAAATTGTGAAAACAGGAATAATTGTGTATTTGGGGATGGACAGGAAGTCCAACTCAGTGCCATGCCACTCAGCTGTAGAGTTTTCCTGCATACTACAATCTTGGAATTGTGCTCCAGTGGGTCTGTGGTCACCTTCTCTGTACATCGTGGGCTGGGAAACTGGGCTCCTGGGATTTGTTGTTTATTTCCATATACGAGTTTAGGAGGACTGCAGTATATCCAAAGAATCAGTGGATTATAATGTGTACCCACCAGTATGTGCTTTGGTTAATAAATTTGATGAAGTATATAGTCACATTGAAAAAGACAAATGTTCAACTGAGGATATCAGTTAAAGGAAAGAGCATTTTCCCTCATGGAAACTGAGGGCATAATTTCAGCATTATTCAGGAGTTTTTCAGAAAACAAAAGTTCAACTTTCACAAGCAAGGATTTTTAGTCCTCTGTAAATCTCGTGGAAAATTAATCATACAGAATATGATAGTGCCAAGAAAACATTTGCAGGAGCACAGATGCATGCATATGAAACATTACATTTTCCAGGCAGTGCCTTTCCTTGTCAGAGCGAACTCCTTTATGACTAAAATGACCATTATACAACATTGACTGGCAACAGGAACTCATATTTAATCACTCCGTTGGAGGTGACTACGGACACAGGAAATGTGGGGGAAATGCTGCTTGGCTTTGTGGTGCAGTTTGTCCAGTATGAGCCATTTCTAGGGGTCTCCTTTGCTTCAGCATTGAATATTGAGGTAGTTGGCATCCTGCATTCCATCCGTCTAATAAAATAAATTTTTGTATTGGTTAGGATGCTTTGGCTCCTTGTGAGAAAGAGGAGGAACAAACACTAAAAAGCCCTGTCTGCCTCAGACTGTTTCGGATGGACTGAATTTATACGGTGCTCAGGCAGCTGTGTTCCAGAGCAGGGCCAGACCTGACACTGCCCGAACAAGAGCAGGTCCTGTGGAGCCATTCCCACGGCTCGTCTCCCCGACAGCTGCTGCACCTCTCTCCGAGCTGATCTGCCCAACTTTGATCTTCTCTCGCACAATGAATTTTAATATGTCATATTTTAAATTGTCGCAGACTGTCTCTTGTTCCATGCTGTTCCTTTTCATTTAGTAAAGCATTCTGTTCTTGTGCTGTTTTCCAAAGTCTTTTATCTTATAAAGCATAGTAATTAATAACCCTTTGTAAATATTCTTCTCTTCCTTGCATCAGCTCTGCCTCCTTTGTATCTCTCCCCACCCCTATCATGTTCTTTGGTTACTGTCTTTAAGAGCTATTTCTCAAATAACTGATGATGTTCTGGTGATTTCTCAAATAGGTGAGGCATTACAATCTATTTGGAAGGTCCCCTCTGAGTGTAAGGTTTTGCTGACTTTTGTGATCAGGTGCAAACCTGGAGGTTTCATTGCACAGAGGAGGATGAGCAATGTCAGTACATTTGGATTTTTTTCTCTTGAGTTGTAATTTTTCTTGGAATTCTTCCATCTGCTGGCCGCTTTGCTTTCTGGGAGTTAAATCGGGAAGAGAGCTAGACACTCCATACTCAGCAAGTGAATCTTCACCAAATTTCCATTCCCTCAGAGGGGCCTGTGCCTCCGAGGAATTCCCAAGCCTGAGGAATTTGGCCTGCTGCTATAGACAAGGCCTAAGGAAATGAGTTCATCATAATTTTAAGTGGGGATGAGAAGAAGAATGAAGATTCACTGACAATTAAGCTGTTTAATTAGAAGTCTTGGGTTGATTTTTGGGCTTGGGGAAATTTCATTTCTATCAAATACAATTTCTGTAAAAAGACTTTAGTTAAAAGTTTGAGTAGCAAGCGATTAACTCGTGGGTCTCTTGCACCAAAAAGCATTAAAGTGGTTAAGGGTTAAGGTTCAGAAGGACAAATCACTCCAAAGACCTCTGGCCAAGAATATGTGGTAATATGTTTTCAGGTTTCACTGAATATTTAATTGGAGAGAGAAAAAAATTTGACCGCAGCGCTACCCTCTGTGTGGGTTGCAAGCTCTTGGGTTTATTCAGTGTTGTATTGTCTCTGTATTGTTTCAGCTCTTGGAAGACTGACCTCCTCACAGGAGCTGAGCCAGCATTTCAGCTTGCTGAAGTC